CTGTCTGTCTGTCTGTCTGTCTGTCTGTCTAAGTTTCCACACACCTATGCAATATTGGAGTCCCAGGGTGAGTTCTGCTGACAAGTGGGACCCAAGTGCACAGAGACAAATGCATACCCTCTGGGGATGCTAAGTGGAAGTAGATTTGAGAGAACAGAAGAGCTGTGGTAGTGCTGACAGCACATTAAATCAGAGTGAGAGAAGCCGGGCTTTGGCGCACGCCTTTAATCCCAGTACTTGGGAGGCAGAAGCAGGCGGATCTCTGAGTTCAAGGCCAGTCTGGTCTACAGAGCAAGTGCCAGTACCAAAGCTACACAGAGAAACCCTGTCCCAAAAAAACAAACAAAACAAAACAAAACCCAAAAAATCAGAGGGACAGAAGCCTGGTCTGGAAGTGGTTGGACAGTTCAGGAGCAGGTGCCATCACATAGATAGGGCTCTCTGAGGGACTCTGCCGTATGCTGGCCTATATCTCTGGCTTGCAAGTGGGAGTGGTAGCTGAGGCTCTGGTGAGATACAGTTGAAGTAGCAGGAAAGTGGGTGGATGTGGGAGACAGCTTTGCATCTGGACCTTATATTATTAGCACCTTTCCCGGGTATGGACAGCTTCTGCAAGGGGGTCAAACTAGCACTTCTTTTCAATATTCTCTGGTGACTGTGAAAACATTAAAAGGGAAAGAAGAAATCCCAGCACTCAGGAGGCAGTTGTGGATAAGGAGTGCTACATAGTGCCAATGGACGTCTCTGACCCTTGAGGTCCTTTGAACATTGAAATGATCTAGAAGAAGTCAGGCTGTCCTGACCCCATAACTGACCTCAGGACTGACCCCATACCTTATCCTCCTTGACAGGACACATGGCTCTAACCCCATAATTGATCCCACACCATCTCCATCACATCCTTCCTGACAGGACAAAGGGTTCATTTTCCCTTGCAGGGAAATGATGCTTGTGAAATCCCTGGCCCACACCTGGTTTTTGTTTTTATAAACTCTGCCTTGCCTTCAGGGCAAAGAGTTCTTTGTGGCAGGAGCCTACTTTTGGTCTCCTGCTTAAATAAAAGATTCCAGTTGGTCTTATTTCATGATGGGCCATAAATTACTCAAGTGGATATTTCAATACCATTCTCTGTCAGGTAGCCCCCACCATGCCTCCCCTAACACAGTTGTTGGCCACTGGAGAAAGAATCGTGGAGTAGGCTTTTTTTTCTTTCTTTCTTTCTTCCTTTCTTTTTTGCTTTTCTAGACAGGGTTTCTCTGTGGCTTTGGAGGCTGTCCTGGAACTAGCTCTTGTAGACCAGACTGGCCTCAAACTCACAGAGATCCACCTGCCTCCCGAGTTCTGAGATTAAAGGTTTGTGCCACCAACGCCCTGCTCTTTCTTTCTAGACAGGGTTTCTCAATAGCTGTGAAGTCAGTCCAGGAACTCGCTCTGTAGGCCAGACTGGTCTGGAACTCCCAGAGACTGGCCTGCCTCTGCCTCCCAACTGCTGTGACTTAAAGGTGTGTGCCACCACCACCTAGCTTCCTTTCTTGTTTTATATTCATTTATTCATTCAGTTATTCTTCAGTATGTATTTTAGAGACCTCTACTGAATGCCGTTACTGTCTTAGGGAATATATCAGGAAATTAAACAAGAGCTCAAAACCTAACACAATCCTGGAACTTATTTATTTAAAATTTTATTCTATTTGTGTGTATTGATGTTCTGTCTGTGTATGCGTGTGTGTACCATGTGTTTGCAGTGGCCCAGGAATCTTAGAGCTTGGAGCCTCTGGTAAGCCCTCTAGGTGAGTTGGGGCAACCATCACTCAGTAGTTCTTTATTTCTGCAGCTTCAGGCGTGTGCAGGTAATCAGCCACTGTGGCCTAGGGCTTGCCTAGATTTGTCCACATCTAGCAAACATGATTTGACAATTCATACCTTTTAAACAGATCAGCAGGTCAGGAAGGCCAGTGTAACAGGCTAGGAGTCTCTTTGCAGACCTGGGGCAGGCCCTGTCCCTTTCTTGGCAACGCCTTCATGTTTCCCTGGTTGGTTCTGGCAGGGCTGCCTTCCTACCCACTCAGCATGAGGAGCATGGTCATCTCTAGGGAGGAACAACAACTGGGTATTTTCCACTCATAGCAAAGAACCAGTTTGTCCTCATGCTTGCCCCATGCAGTGGCTGAAGTCTCAAGATTTACATAGGTCAGCTCTCATCCTGGTTCTGGTCATGGGACCCAGTCCATCCCAGTGTCTGCCCACACCAGGGAGGAGTAGGAGGCACCAGTTCACAAAGCTGACATTCTGGAAGGGGAAGATGGCCTGCCTCTGGAATCGTACTCTCTCTCTCTCTCTCTCTCTCTCTCTCTCTCTCTCTCTCTCTCGTGTGTGTGTGTGTGTGTGTGTGTGTGTGTGTGGTGAGCTAGCCAGGGTAGAGCAACCATTGATTGAAACATTCCAAAGTCTACCTGCTGTGAATTTGTCTGGCTGATGCCCTTTCTGCTTCACTTCTTCCAGGTTAGGGGAGGCTAGGTACTTAGTAACTATGTGAGTAATAGGGTGAACATTTACCTCAGGAGAAAGGTGATATTTATTTTTCAGATATTCATGGTATATTTAAGAGAAATAAAAGAGTACTCCCAGCCAGGCAGTGGTGGTGCCCGCCTTTAATCCCAGCACTTGGGAGGCAGAGGCAGGAGGATCTCTGTGAGTTCGAGGCGAACCTGGTCTACAGAGCGAGTGCCAGGACAGCCTCCAAAACCACAGAGAAACCCTGTCTTTAAAAAAAAAAAAAAAAAAGTCAAGGATGCCCTCACCTTACTGGATACTTTCAAAAACTATGAGAAGATAGTATTCTAGTAAAAAATAACAGTAAAGTAACCAAGGAGCTGACGTAATTTTTTAAGGTCTATGGAAAAGAGGAGTGCAGGCCAGACCCTCTTCTGTGCTGGGTGAGTAAGTATCCTTGGTGACCCTCTCTCTGCTCTGATACTACCTGTATGTGTGTTTTGGATTCAGGCGTGCCCACACCTTAACTGTGCTGTTCATCCTCACCTGTTCACTGGGCTATGTGACTCTCCTGGAAGAAACCCCTCAGGATACAGCCTACAACACTAAGAGGTAACTGCTTGTGTGCGGAGGGTGTGTGTTCTGTGGTGCTCTGGTCAGCCCAGGCTGTAAACTCTCCTTGTGTGTCTAAGTGACTAGCTCCCCTACCTTCCCTTGGAGCTAAGTTGTGTTTCTTGCCCAGGACCCTGGGTACACATCACCTTTCAAGTGACACAGATGTTTTGCAGCAGCCTTCAGGGTGATCCCCCTAGGTGGTGTTGATGCCAGCACTTTCTTTTTTTTTTTTTTTTTGCTCAAGTGGGCAATATTTAAAAAAAAAAACCAGAAACTAAAACACCAAAGTTCACGCAGGAAGGGAGGTCCTTGGGGCCAGGTCTCTCTCTACCTAGGCATCTTGCTTTGCTGCACGAAGGGGTTGGGGATAGCTTCCATGCTGTCCTGGGGGGCAGATGAGCAACACTGAGGTGCCACGGCCCACCACAAGCCCCAGCTGCTGGTACTGGTCATCAGGACCTCCATATAATCCATCACCAGGTTGAGCAGTGGGTCAAACCCTTTCGGGATCTCACTCGCTTCCCGGCCACCCTGGAACTTCACTCAGATGGTCTTGTCAATGTACTTAGACAGGTCCAAGATGCTTTCTTTCTTTTTTTCTCTTTGTCCGCCATCTTGCTGCCCTGTGCTCGATGCCAGCACTTTCTAAATATTTAGACAAACTATATAAGAGGCCAGGTGGACATTCAATGACCACCTGTGACCTTGCTTCTCAGGATTGTCCAGAGCAGTAGGTCACAAGCACTGTCCTTGCTGCATTGCCAGGTTCTGGGGCCAGTCCCTAGCGTACAGGGAGGGACAGGTTGCTCCAGAGCACTGACAGACTTCTATTGCTCCTCTAATTCTCTAGCTGGGTGTCTGCCCTGGAATGCTGCCTGACAAGGAAGGTCAGTTACTATCACTGCGCAGGTCCTGCTTGCTCTGGGAGAGCTACAGAGGAGACCAGAGAGGATGTAGTAGGGGCAGAGACCGAGGCACAGGGAGATGTGAGAGGCCTATTGAGGTCTCAAGGCAACCTTGGTTGTTTGTCCTCCAGGAACCTCCATGGTCCTGACACTTTTAGGCCAACATTTTGTTTTTGAAAATTGGAAGTTCTAGTACTTTGCTATAAGAATTGAATGGGGTAACAGTGGAAGTGGTGTGAACACGTGGATGTAGCCATTCCCACCTCCTCAGTATCTGTGGGCCTTGTGAGAGTGACATAAGGATATCCAGCCTATCTGGGATGTAGAGCCACCAACAATGAACCTTGTAATGGAGCTTTTGCCCTTGGGTACAGCTGGGTTCTTCTGGTAAAACACTGCAGTTGGGCTATTGGACCCACAGGCTTCCATCTGCCTGTCTTGGGCAATACAGGTACCTTCTCTCTAGCTGTTTTCCCAGCTGTTCCTAGCCCATTATTTGTGAGTTTTCTTTACTGTTTAGTAACTTCCAACTCACAGTCAGCCTCTTAGGAGTTTGCTTGATTTTTCTGAGTTTGTGATGGCTTGATTCCAGGTCCACCAGCCCTTCTCTAGTCCATCATGTTTAACTGTGCCTATACTGGCCATTCCTGCTTATTCTCATCTACAGGCCTGCCTGTGTCCCCTCCTTTCTTGGAAAGGCTTCCATCATACTGTTAAGTCCCAGGGTAGGCCTGTGAGCTCAGCATGCTCTTAAGGAGATGAGCTAGTACTGAGAGAGGAACTTGTGCCGCTAGGTAGGGTCTGTTTTGCCCTTCCTGTCCTGGTCCTAGCAGAGGGGCCATCTGTGTATACTAGCCCCTGTGGTATGGAGGCAGTAGACTGTTGGTTGTTCGTATACCTACTCAGGTAATTTTCGAGTAGAACTGGTCTTAGCTAGGTATGATTGCTCATACATGTAAAACTCGCACTTGGGAAACAGAGGCAAGAGGATCAGAAGTTCAAGGCTAATCTTGGCTACATGGTGAGTTCAAGACTAGCCTGGGCTACATGAGACGCTGTCTCAAAAAACAATAAAAAAGAACATAGTGGTGCATACTTTTCTGGCACTGGGAAGCAGAGCAGGCAGATCTCTATGAGTTTGAAGCTAGAGTTCCAGGACAGCTATTGCTACATAGTGAGACCCTGGAGAACAACTGGGTCTGGTCTGCTTCTCTGAATCCATCTCTGTGTACCTGGGCATGGAGGGTCAGTAGTATCTGCAAGGCTTACTCAAGTCCAAAGAGATGGGATATGGCTACACCTCAGAAGTTGTTCTCCGTGGACTGAATGCATGGCTTAGGGGCCTAGGATTTAATCCTTAACACCACACTCTACACTCCCAAAAAGAGTTATCTATATGAGAAGTAAAATTAGCTAAAGATGCCCAGCTCTGATGTCACTGGAAAAGAGTTGTATCAAGGAAGAGCAAACTTGACTCTGAAGAGCAGGAACATGCAAAGGTTTCCTGGAATGGCACCAAGCATCTGCCAGAGCAGTTACAGAGCTGTTGTTCACCAAATATGTTGGTCCTGTTGTCAATACTAAGTGACCCAGGCCCTGGAGAGTCCAAAAACTGAGACCTCCCCAAGCTTAAGGAGGGTGACGCTGTGGACCTGTGTGGGTGAGGCCACTCTTCCTCTAGCACTGACCTCAGCAGAGCTGCCTCACTGCTCCTCCAGGGGACACCAGACACCCATTCCTCATGTTCTTTGTCTCCCTCTTTTCTCTTTAAGAGCATGAAGGCAACTGAATTACTGGCCTGTAATTCTTCTGATAGAGCCTGAAATCTTTTCTTCTCCCTGGGAATATGTGGGAGTTTTCTTATGCCCTTAGGGTAGGCTTCATGTATCAAATATTTGTCATTGCATTTATTTTACTTGTGTGCATGTGTATGAGTGTTCAAGTGTGTCAAGTGTGTAAATACACACATGCAGACAGGTGAGAGGACAACCTATAGGAGTTAATTTTCTCCTTCTACCATGCACATCCCAGGGATTGAACTCAATTGTTAGGCTTAGTGACAGGCATGTTACCTGCTTTTGCCATCTCATCCCCCTTATAGAAAATATTTTATAACTTTTGTGGTGTTGTGGATGGAACACAGACCCTCACATACATCAGGCTAACACTCTACTACAAAGATACAACCCCAAGACTTACTTATTTTTCATTTAAAATTCATTTTTTTAGCCGGGCGTTGGTGGCGAACACCTTTAATCCCAGCACTCAGGAGGCAGAGACAGGTGGATCTCTGTGAGTTTGAGACCAGCCTCGTCTACAAAAGCTAGTTCCCGGACAGTCTCTAAAGCCACAGGGAAACCCTGTCTCCAAAAACAAAAACAAAAAAACCCAACATTTTTATTTATGTGAATGTGTGTGTTAGTATTAGTACAGGTGAGTATCCTCAGAGGCCAGAAGAGGGTGTTGGATCCCCTGGAGCTGTAGACAGTTGTGAGTTGCCTTATGGGTGCTGGAATCTGAATCTAGGTCCTCTGTAAGAGCAACAGACGCTCTTAACCACTCAGTTGTCTCCGGCTCTCCAATATTTGTTTGTTTATTATAATTTATTTGGTATTGTATATGCATTGATATTTTTGCCTTTGTATATGTCTATGTGAGGGTGTCAGATCCCCAGGAATGGCCTCTTCCTTTGGAAGAACGATCAGTGCTCTTAACCACTGAGCCATCTCTCCAGGACCCCCAAGATTTATTTTCAACATTTTTCTTTTTTTGTTTCTCAAGACAAGGTTTTTCTGTGTAGCCCTGGCTACACAGAACTTGCTCTGTAGACCAGGCTGGCCTTGAACTCAGATATCTGCCTGCCTCTGACTCCTAGTGCTGGGATTAAAGGTGTGTACCCAGCTATTTTTTAAATTTTTTCTAAAGATTTATTTAATTTTTTTATGTGTATATATATATGTGTGTGTGTGCCTGTGTGAGTTATGTGTACTCTGTGCATGTAAGTGCCCACAGATACCAGAGAACATTGGATCCTTTGGAACTAGAGTTCCAAAGGTAGTGTGAGCTGTCTGATGTGGGTGCTGGGAACTGAACCCAGGTCCTCTATAAAAGCAACCAGTGCTTTTAACTACTATGCCATCTCTCCTGTTCCTTTTGAAAAGTCTTTAATTTCAACTTGTGTATCATTGTTTTTGAGACCAGGGAGGAGGGGGTCACTGTATTGCCAGTCTGGGTTTTTTGGTTTGGGGTTTTTTGGGGTGTGTGTGTATGTGTATGTGTGTTGTTATTGTTTTTTCAGACAGGGTCTCTGGCTGTCCTGTAATTCGCTATATGGACCAGGATAATCTCAAACTCACAGAGATCCACTCAACTCTGCCGCCTAAGTGTTGGGATTAAAGACATGCTTTACTATGCCCAGCTGCTAGTCTGATCTTGAACTCCAGGTTCAAGTAATCCTTTTGCCTCAGGCTCCTGAAGAGCTAGGACTCCAGGCACAGACCACTGTTTAGTGTTTTTTCTTTCTAAATAACCTTATTGGCCAATAATTTAATGCATTTCTAGTGAAGTTTCAGCTTGGTAAATTGAGGCACACACACCTGTGTACCTGCTGCTGGCCCATGAGTGGAGCTGCTATGTTACTTTTCTGTGTCTGGCTTCTTCTCCACAACAGTGGATGTGTGTCTTTGTGGACTGTCAGGACTGTTGCGCTGTGCCACACAGATGCTCGTGATATGTGTGTCTGGGGACCTGGGGACACTTCATGTTCCCTCACTTCAGTTACAATTTTAAAAATTCACTGGGAGTTGGTGGCGTACGCCTTTAATCCCAGCACTCAGGAGGCAGAGGCAGGTGGATCTCTGTAAGTTCGAGGCCAGCCTGGTCTACAGAGTGAGTGCCAGGATAGGCTCCAAAGCTACACAGAGAAACACTGTCTCAAAAACAAACAAACAAAAAATTGTACAGATTTAAAAGCACACACCTATTATCTCAGAACTCAGGAGCTGGAAGTAGGAGAACCCTAAGTTCAAGGCCAGTCTGGGCTGCATAGCAAGATCTTGCCTCTTTTCTCAAAAAACAAAACAAAAACCAACC